ATATATTATAATATTATATTATATTATATTATATTATATTATATTATAATATATATATTATATATAATATATTATTATATTATTATTATAATTATATAAATTATATAATATACAGTAAATTATTACTACAGTAATTTCTCCCGGAAATGCCAAATTTCGGGTTGCCGTGAATTTCCCTGCGCTGGTCCCTACGCATACGTAATTCATTGTTACGTCGATGTTAAGTATTCGAACTTTTCTGGGAGAAATTACTGTACTGCGATCATCTGATATTACAAAATATACAATCCCATAATAATGTCACGAAGCGAAGTCCACCAACGACAAATAGAGATGTTTCAAGCTTACGTGAATGTGGATAAACCGTTCGCATAGTCCAACAGATGTTGTATAATATAGTTCAGATAGAACATGTACACTAACTCGGAAGTGGTAAAAAACATGGCCATTACCATTTCCTGTATATCGTGTGTCTCGCATATAGCGATAGATAGCTGAAAGATGCGTGTATTTCGAGAGAGATGTGACAACGATGTTTATACCGTAATCAATGGGGGGACAAAATCGACTTACACGGAACAGATTGATACTCAAGGAGACGACAGCGAAAAGAAGAAGAACGGCGTACGAGAACATAACTTTGCCTTTCAAGAACATCAAGAAACTTTAAAAACGAATGAATGCTGCCGAAAGTTAGAGATCCCTTTGAACCTGCATAAAAGTTGAGTAGCCCGTTAGTAAAAGCTTTCGATTTCTGTCGACTTAATATTTTTGGCATTTATCGGTTAATATATAATAATATATAATATAATATATAATATATAATAATATACATAATATATATAATATATATAGTATATAATAATATATAATATATAATATATATAATATATATAGTATATAATAATATATAATATATAGTATATAATAATATATAATATATAATATATATAATATATAATATCGGCTAATCGATCTCCCAGTTTGAAGTCCGATAAAACAAATATTTTACTTGGATTCTAAATTATGTACGACGATGCCAAAGGTTCGATCATGCGACTCATTTTGCGCAGACTCAAAGGGTTCTAGCGGGTGACGTTTTTTAATGAAAGTTTTCTGTTAATAGAATATGATACAGCGAATACTAACGCTTTTGCATCCGCGTGGTAATTAACTGCTTTTGCTATATAGTCGCTTCTGTAGGTGTTCATAAGCTTCTCCGAAATATATGACGGCGCCGCGGCAATTCCTTTCTCGATATTGTAACTAAAAATCAGAGTATTTTTCGATTCGATTATTTTTGAAGTAAACAATTTCGATTTACTTTCGAAGTATAAACAATTTGAAGTGCTCAAACAACGCTTGGATCTTTTGAGACGTGATTTTTTCGTTTTTTGAAAGTTTTCAGTATATATATTATTTATATATATATATAAAATTTATATATAAAATTTATTTACATATATTATTTATATATTTTTTTTCGTTTTCAAAAATTATCCAATTGTCCCAAAATAATTGTACAAGCGAGAAATGAGGGGTTCCTCGGATCATTTGAAGTAACTTTTTCCTCGGCGAAAATACGATCCACAGCTTCGTTTACGAGTTATTAACGAAAAACGCTGACCAATCGTAGAACGAGCGCGGCCAGCGTTCCGCCCTTTCAGCCGTCGCGCCGGCCGTCTGACGCAGCAGCAGTGGTCACGAGGTCGGGGCGTCAGCCGTACGCGATCTCTCATTGGTCACCGTTTTTCGTTAATAACTCGCAAACGAAGCCACGGATTGCATTTTCGCTAAGGAAAAAGTTATTTCAAATGACCTCAGGAACCCCTCATTTCTCGCTTGTACAATAATTTTAGGACACCCTGCAGCAGAGTGTTTTTTAGTAACGATCACACCCGCCTCCTACATTATACAACCCACGATCAACAGTGCTTCAATTTCCGAGAGTGCATGAAGTAAATTAGCGTTGTCTTACCAGACGATTTCGTACAGGCTGATACTGTGCTGCAGCCACATAATGAACAGGGTCTCCGTAGCCACATATATAGTTGTGATCAAGGAGAACGATATACATTGTTGAATTACTATATAAAAGAGATATTTATCTTCGTCGACTAAATAATCCGTCACTATCGGGAAAGGGATTATTTCAGTCGAGTTCGCGGGTGTTGCTACGATCATAATATAAGATGAGACGCGGTATAATATCACAAGTAGTGCTGACGGGTACATAAATACTGTAACATATGCATGATTATGGCATAATACGATGGATTCTCATTGCTTTGGATCACAGTAATGCATTGCTAAATCGCTCGTCTATGCACTAATTATTATTATTATTATTATTATTATTATTATTATTATTATTATTATTATTATTATACTCTTCTAATTCCGAATTTTCCAAATCGGATCATCAATAATTGAGTCGTTTATTTTGAAAGTGGCATAAGTCACTTTGTTTTGCGTTTTAACACGTTTCAAAATATGAATGCTAACTTTCGAGAAGATTTACTTGTATTTGTTATCTCAGGATACTGATATTTTTCTCAGTATAAATAATTTCGTATAAACATGAAAAAATCACCACTTTTCATTACGGTAAAGTGACTTATGCCACTTTCAAAATAAACGGCTCAATTATCTGGAGAGTATTTGTTGCTGTCGTTCATAGGCGTCTGAACCAGCGTGTACGCGAAAATAAGTTACACAAGAAGTGGAATAGGTGGCGCATAGGTGGCGAGAGTCCCGCAAAGCGGTGTGGCGTGTCTACCGGGTGTCCTAAAATTACTGTAGGAATGAGGAATTCTTAAGGTCATTTGAAGCAACTTTTTCCTTAGCGAAAATGCAATCCGCGGGTTCGTTTGCGAGTTATTAGCGAAAAATAGTAAAACAGTCCGAAATTATCGCGTGACTAATAGTGAAATAGGCCTACGGAGGATACCACTGACAAAAAAAAAACGCATTAACGAACGCATCAACAATCCCCTAGCCTTCTGAAATAAGAAGTTTCTCTCATCGAAAAATTTTGATTGGAAACCTAAAAGAATTTCGCTCGGTTACGTGTTTCATTCGTTAAACGATTTCACAGAAATTCTTGACGAAGTTTACTTAAACGCGTCAGCCTTTGGCATTTGAGCTCGACGATGTTAGGGGTCACCTCATGAATTGGAAAAGAATCCGAGAGCGAGCGATTTTCGCTGCACCACTGCGTGTATCCGGAAAGTTATGTCGTTTGTTTACATTAAATTCAAACAGATAAATTTTTAACTAGTTTTTATTTTCAATCAACCATGTAATCACCCTCATCATCAACAACCTATTTTCATTTAGTATGCAAATTTTTAGTATGCAAAAATTAGTATGCAAAAAAAAGGGATACTGACATGCGCAGAAACGACATTACTTTCCGGTCCCCCTAATATATTCTTACTCGCATAAATGGCTCCTTGTTGCTTCCCTAGAATGGCCCGCCTCTCTAAAATTTCGAGCGTGTCTTTGTGTGTTGTATTCCATTTAGCCTGTATGGACGCCATTAGTTGCTTAATCTGTGTTCAGAATCATCTTTACTGTCTCACCTAATTCGCGACGCGTTAAGTTAACTGTAAATTATTTTCGGCACTCACCGCACTAGTCATGAACAAGAAAACGTTGAACTTTACCACAGAGCCCAGTGAAATTATTATAATAGACAGGGCCTGGAGTAACAGCATCAAATCAAGGTCGCCTGTTATGAAAGGTGTGATCTGAAAGAACCACATTATCATTTTGCATCATAGAAAATTTGACAGTTGATCCTATTCCATCTGGATTCCTCGGGCAGAAATGGAAACAAGAAGACTTTGCATTAGTTTTGAAGTTTCCATCATTTCTCATCAGCGGCACTTTCATACTTCATAAGTTTCATACTTCATGAAATTGACACTTTTTGAGCCTCTCGGATCTTTCGCTAAAAATCACGAAACCATTTACTGCGAAACATTTGTACCTGTGTAAATGAATGGAACAGAACCTCGTCAATGTCGGAATTTTGAGAATTCTGTTTCACAAACGTATGTCTGAAAGTTGAATATTTCAGAAACTATGAGAAAATAAAATGAAATAAAATAAAAATACCCCCTTAATAACATTCGCCCGTTGTACTATGCTATCATGGTTATATTCAGCAATTTTGTTTGCGACAAAAAAAAGAATTTATTGCTGTACAAAATTGCACTACTGGGTTTAGACTATATTCGTGCAATTTGCAATAACGTCTAATTGCATCGTTACATAAATATACTGCTGAAATTGTACAGGATATTAATATTTTCGTTCATCGTTGTATACACGGTGTCTCAGAACTTCTGATACAGAAGGAAAAAGATGTGATTCCTCGGGTGATTTTTAGTAACTTTTTCTTTAGCGTTTTCATTAACGAGTTATTCATAAAAAAAAACACAGACCAATAAGAGGCCGCTTCTAACTGGAAGCAAGCCCGTCGCGGCAGTTGCTATAAATAAATATATAACAAAACTTCTCCCCGAAATAAATATATTTGTAACACATGAAAATCGCTTTGGCCATCCATCTGGCCAATAAAGATGAAATCTATTTTTTTAAATAATTACTCGATAAGCTTCATACCGAATTTCACTTGGGCATCTTCGATAATTTAGAACTTTTAATAGTTTAATTAGTTAACGAAGCCGCAACCAACATCTTCGCATCACCTTAGGAATCATCAAATTCCGACTGTAACGTGATTTCTGGGACGCCCTGTATGTTACACCGTGCTGTGGGCATTAGAGGATTCTTTTGTGAAGGGAAGTTAATGTGAATGGTTCCTAAATACTCGTGTGTGTGTGTATCCTAAATTGGTGTAATAAACTATGATTACGCTTCTGTGACTCGACAATATGTCAATTCAAGATGTCTTTAATTTTCCAAGGGGCAGAGAATTGATGATTCATGACGATGCAAATCGGAAATCAAAAATAACGATATCGTAATATCAGCGTCGCTTTCGTTTCATCCGATAAAGGATGCGACAAACGCGAAAGTTAAAGGCAGTTTATGTACGTTACACCATGCTGCGGGCATTAGAGGATTCTTTTGTGAAGGGAAATTAATGTGAATGGTTCCTAAATACTCGTGTGCGTGTATCCTAAATTGGTGTAATAAACTATGATTACGCTTCTGTGACTCGACAGTATGACGAATCAAGATGTCTTTAATTTTCCAAGGGGCAGAGAATTGATGATTCGTGACGATGCAAATCGCAAATCAAAAATAACGATATCGTAATATCAGCGTCGCTTTCGTTTCATCCGATAAAGGATGCGACAAACGCGAAAGTTAAAAGCAGTTTAAGCGGCTGTACCTGGACAATTGTCATAAGGGGGCAGAAGATGTTCACGAGGGTAGCCCTGATTCGACGTGTGCTCTCACTATCGTACGGCCAGAGTCCTAAAATTCTCATCAGGCGTACACTGAACTTGTAATGTACATCACATGCGGACATCGCGAACGATGGTTCAAACGTGACTGGCTAAATTCCTGCTTGTACTTTTAGGTCTCACTATTTCATGCAACCCCTTCAGTAATATCATACTTTTTAACACAATATAAAACAAATTCCCAGAAGTAAGGAATTATGACTGACGCAATCTGCAATTACAAACTTAGTTATTCATGTTTTACGGCCAAGACGGAAGATCGATATACCTCGCGGCGATGATATATGCACAGCTATTACGGTAATTACAGGGTTGAACGGAGGGGGGACATCTTTTTGAGAACTTTCATTCGATGCCTGTGTTTATTGTTTTATTCTCACGTTTTCCTCCACGTCGACCGAACTGGAGAGAATCGATATTTCTCGAAAATATTCAGTCTTCCTTGGCACGCCAAACGTGAAACAAGTGGAATTAATATACCGTGGATAATTGAACGTAAGTTTGAAGTCATTTTGTCGCAGAAATTCATTTTGAACGAAGCTGTGCCCGTGATGGAATTGATAACGCCGGATGGTCGTTAAATATTTAGGAGCGTCGAAAAAAGCAGTCGTATTTAATTATGGCTGTACTAATTTTCAGGATCGTCCGCTTAATGACGATCCGAAAACCGTAACGATGAGAGACGTTAATTGATCACTTCATATGAAGCATGACATTATAATATAATATAATAATTTAATAATATATATATTATATATAATATAATAATATAATAATATATATTATATATAATATATAATAATATATAAGGTGTCTAACATTATTAGGTACAATAGTTTAGCAACAATATAGTCTCACGTAACAAAGAAAATTCTTGCATATTGTGTTTATTTTTTTATATCGATATGCGACCACAGAGTGAATAAAATGTTTTGTAAAAATGCTCGATATTTTATTAGAACGTTCGAATAACAAATAAAGGTAAAGTATCTTTTATTCGAATCATTATTTAAATAATTTCCTAAGTAATGCCCAACTCTGTCTTAGGCCCGTCTTTACCAAGCCTATCTTAAACAACGCTTTGAGTCGAGAGTTGGGACTATGAAAATAGCTCGTAGTATTTTGGAAATTTCAGAAAAACTGCAAACGAATCATTAAATGTAAATACATGAAAAGGAGGGGCGAGGAAGGAGCAACTGTTGAAGACATTGCTCGGCGACATTAAACAACTTCCACGTGTCGGTCTATTCTGGTCAAAAAGGGGAACTAACAACTTGGTTGTTTTGAAATTTCATGAAATGTGGAAGAGAACAAATAAAACTAATTGTAAGATAGTAATGAGCAAGGAAGGAGCAGTTAAGTCGGTCTATTCTGGTCTAGAAAGGGGAACTAAGAACTTGGTTGTTTTGAAATTTCATGAAATGTGGAAGAGAACAAATAAAACTAATTGTAAGATAGTAATGAGCAAGGAAGGAGCAGTTAAGTCGGTCTATTCTGGTCTAGAAAGGGGAACTAAGAACTTGGTTGTTTTGAAATTTCATGAAATGTGGAAGAGAACAAATAAAACTAATTGTAAGATAGTAATGAGCAAGGAAGGAGCAGTTAAGTCGGTCTATTCTCTACTCTAAAAAGGGGAACTAACAACTTGATTGTTTTGAAATTTCATGAAATGTGGAAGAGGACAAATAAAACTAATTGTAAGATAGTAATGAGCAAGGAAGGAGCAGTTAAGTCGGTCTATTCTCTACTCTAAAAAGGGGAACTAACAACTTGATTGTTTTGAAATTTCATGAAATGTGGAAGAGGACAAATAAAACTAATTGTAAGATAGTAATGAGCAAGGAAGGAGCAGTTATTTAAGACATCGTTCAATGATATAAAGGGGAAAACGTTGAGTCGGTACAACGTCGTGAACATTATTTTGGAAGCAATTCAAACTAAAATAGCAACGATAAGGAACAATTAAAAAGCAATTGTTTACGATATTCTATGACAGTACAACTTCTACTTATTTAATTTTTCTTTCAAGTGTGTATTTCTTAACGACTTAACAACAACTGCTTATAATCTTAGACTAGAAATAACATTGCCTAGATAACTTGAGTCCTGGCTTAGAAGAACGAAAAGCTAGAGTACTATGTCTATCTATGTAACAAAAATAGTTATATATAATTATAAATATATAACTAATTAGTTATATATATATATGTATATATATTTATATTAAATATATAACTAATTAGTTATATATATATATGTATATATATTTATATTAAATATATAACTAATTAGTTATATATATATATGTATATATATTTATATTAAATATATAACTAATTAGTTATATATATATATGTATATATATTTATATTAAATATATAACTAATTAGTTATATATATATATGTATATATATTTATATTAAATATATAACTAATTAGTTATATATATATATGTATATATATTTATATTAAATATATAACTAATTAGTTATATATATATATGTATATATATTTATATTAAATATATAACTAATTAGTTATATATATATATGTATATATATTTATATTAAATATATAACTAATTAGTTATATATATATATGTATATATATTTATATTAAATATATAACTAATTAGTTATATATATATATGTATATATATTTATATTAAATATATAACTAATTAGTTATATATATATATGTATATATATTTATATTAAATATATAACTAATTAGTTATATATATATATGTATATATATTTATATTAAATATATAACTAATTAGTTATATATATATATGTATATATATTTATATTAAATATATAACTAATTAGTTATATATATATATGTATATATATTTATATTAAATATATAACTAATTAGTTATATATATATATGTATATATATTTATATTAAATATATAACTAATTAGTTATATATATATATGTATATATATTTATATTAAATATATAACTAATTAGTTATATATATATATGTATATATATTTATATTAAATATATAACTAATTAGTTATATATATATATGTATATATATTTATATTAAATATATAACTAATTAGTTATATATATATATGTATATATATTTATATTAAATATATAACTAATTAGTTATATATATATATGTATATATATTTATATTAAATATATAACTAATTAGTTATATATATATATGTATATATATTTATATTAAATATATAACTAATTAGTTATATATATATATGTATATATATTTATATTAAATATATAACTAATTAGTTATATATATATATGTATATATATTTATATTAAATATATAACTAATTAGTTATATATATATATGTATATATATTTATATTAAATATATAACTAATTAGTTATATATATATATGTATATATATTTATATTAAATATATAACTAATTAGTTATATATATATATGTATATATATTTATATTAAATATATAACTAATTAGTTATATATATATATGTATATATATTTATATTAAATATATAACTAATTAGTTATATATATATATGTATATATATTTATATTAAATATATAACTAATTAGTTATATATATATATGTATATATATTTATATTAAATATATAACTAATTAGTTATATATATATATGTATATATATTTATATTAAATATATAACTAATTAGTTATATATATATATGTATATATATTTATATTAAATATATAACTAATTAGTTATATATATATATGTATATATATTTATATTAAATATATAACTAATTAGTTATATATATATATGTATATATATTTATATTAAATATATAACTAATTAGTTATATATATATATGTATATATATTTATATTAAATATATAACTAATTAGTTATATATATATATGTATATATATTTATATTAAATATATAACTAATTAGTTATATATATATATGTATATATATTTATATTAAATATATAACTAATTAGTTATATATATATATGTATATATATTTATATTAAATATATAACTAATTAGTTATATATATATATGTATATATATTTATATTAAATATATAACTAATTAGTTATATATATATATGTATATATATTTATATTAAATATATAACTAATTAGTTATATATATATATGTATATATATTTATATTAAATATATAACTAATTAGTTATATATATATATGTATATATATTTATATTAAATATATAACTAATTAGTTATATATATATATGTATATATATTTATATTAAATATATAACTAATTAGTTATATATATATATGTATATATATTTATATTAAATATATAACTAATTAGTTATATATATATATGTATATATATTTATATTAAATATATAACTAATTAGTTATATATATATATGTATATATATTTATATTAAATATATAACTAATTAGTTATATATATATATGTATATATATTTATATTAAATATATAACTAATTAGTTATATATATATATGTATATATATTTATATTAAATATATAACTAATTAGTTATATATATATATGTATATATATTTATATTAAATATATAACTAATTAGTTATATATATATATGTATATATATTTATATTAAATATATAACTAATTAGTTATATATATATATGTATATATATTTATATTAAATATATAACTAATTAGTTATATATATATATGTATATATATTTATATTAAATATATAACTAATTAGTTATATATATATATGCTGTCTCTTATACACATCTAGATGTGTATAAGAGACAGGTACAAAAAAGGGAGTATCATAGCTTTTTCTACACCTTATTTCTACCTAAGAACTACATAACAATAATGATAACAATAGAGTTAAGTTAATATATACACTAAATACAATGAAAAAGTGTGTATGTTTGTATGTTATTTGAGATTTTTCTTTCTTTTAATTTCATAATGGTGCTATCATTGCTCAAGATTTTGAGATTGCTGTTGAATACTTGAAACTATTACTGTTAATATTATAGTTCTTGTGATCTATTCTGATTTTTTTGCTCGTTTTGTTCCTACTCCAGTGGTATAGGATAGCAATATAATTGTTATTTTGAATTATTCCTTGTCAAAATATAAGAATGATTGTGGAGTTAGGTATTCAGTAAGTTTTTGGCTTCAGGCTTCATTCAGATTACACTTGACTAATTATACTGTTATTAATGTGTAGTTATTTATACACACTACACACTTTTTAAGCAACTTCTTGAAAAGTAGAAGTAAACAAATTAAAAGTAATTACAGAACAATAATCAGCAATCAAAGAGCAATTCCTTGGTATGTTTTGGTATTCTCCAACCTCTCGTGAAAGTCCCTAGTCGCTCCGAAGCAGTTTTTTGGAAATTTCTGAAAAACTACAAAGGATCAATTGAAAGTAATTAAATATCAACAATGGGCAGCAATTTTTTGAGTATTTATGCCAAATGAAATTTGGCAACTACGAATGGCACGTGCTCCTAGTTCCTTATATATTTGTTTATCCAAAATCCATTGTTCATCGATAAAATTATCGTCCCTGGAAGGTTAAACAATAGGTTAGATGAAAAGAGCAATTCTTTGACAGATCATACAGCACGTTTTATGCATTATTTCGAAAATTTCGTATCACGAAAATCCTCCAATCTTTCATAAAAGTCCCTAGACGTCTCAAAAAAGTTTTTTGGATATTTCTCGAAGAAGATAAGTGAACAATTAAAACTAATTCGTGAACAATTATGGGCAAGTAAAGAGCAATTTTTATAATAATTTAATAATATTGGTTAATATGGTGAGCCTACTTCTACTACGGTAGAAAAATCGTGCAAAACCTGAGGTATTACAGTAATGGGACCATAACTCCCAGCTTCCTAACCTCTTCATAACTTTCTTCCAGGAAAGTAGGAATGACAGAATTACTGACCACAAATGGGATTGGACGATTCCAATGGTGAGGTCTCATTGGACCAATGGACGCACTGGTCTTGAGTGGAAATTCCACGAACAATTAAAATACTGAGAGCGACCCACCCGTTTGGGACCTACTCTTGCACGCGTTTCTTGTTGCCTAAGCTAGCGCGCATATCCCCACCACTTTACTTCGCATTCAATCAGCAGTGGATACTGTTTCAGCATTGAATCATCGCCCAATCAGAGCAGAGCAATTCCTACTCCTATTCTCGCTATCGGAGCGAGCCGCGACAGAGAAGTTTGCAGGAGTTAAGGTATGTATCACACTGTACATACTATGACGTGTCCATATATGAGAGATACATACATATATAGTAGTATATATGTAGTATGTACCTAAGTTTCTACAAGACCCGCCGGCTGCAGCGCGCTTCGGTAGCGAGAATAGCAGTAGAAATTGTTTTGCTTTGATTGGCTGACAAATCGATGTCAAGACAGGATTTACTGCGGACTGGATGCACGGTAAAATTTGTGGGGATGCTTGGGAAAACTAAGGAAGGTAGAAAAATCGTGGAAAACCTGAGGTATTGTTGTACATATGTACATATTTACCATAAAATATGTGGCTGTAAGTATGACTTACATATACGTAGTTTCGTGTTCGGTATGTTTGATTTTCTAGCCCTCTGGCGATGAATTCGTAAAATAAAGGGGTTCATACTTTTGATACGTATGTGTTACTAAACTAGTGATATAACGAATAAATTATTTTTATTTTTCATTACTTATTGTTTAACATTTTAAAGCACCGAAATAGACAAATAATATCCTATAAGTAAGAAGTGGAACACACGCATACTTACGTATTGTTCGTCAGATTATAAAGGTATAGTTTTGTAGATTTACGAATACAATCGCCCGCCATCCGTGGAGGGAGTTTTAGAACGTTTAGTGAAACTAGTGTGGTGTGTGGATTGTTCTGAAGACGCGCTCAAAAGAAACGTTATCGTATTTATTAATGACCCTGTAATATTACTATCAAATGTGATTCTTTTTGCAACATATGAGAGCGGCGGTATAACCTTCGTCGACGTAATACTGTTTTGGGTTGTTTCACAAGGAAATAAAGAAAACGTACTACGTATTCAACAAGCTTACGCGTAACCGCCAAAATCACAGACGGAAACGCCATCTTATGCAAAGATGTTGACATTTTACTAAATCGGGAAAGACACTATAAGATATAATCGTCGTTTTATTCGGGTCCTACGACTCGATTTGTGTATTTACGAATGTTGAAAAATGTTAATAATACTTACTGATTGACACGTCATCCGGTTTTTCATTATAAGGTGATAATCATGTTGCTAACGGGAAATTGTATTAACGATACCGTTCCATTCACCCTTATGTTTAGATTTGTGTTTACAAACAGTGCACTACGCACTTCACACGCATTTTAATTGTACGATCGTTTTTCTTCACAGAAGTGCACGTAACAAATATTCATAATGTTTTACGCACATTTCGTGTTGGCCAAAAAGGGGCCACTGGCCCGAATTTGGTTAGCCGCTCATTGGGACAAGAAGTTGACAAAAGCTCATGTATTTGAAACGAATATTGAAAAATCAGTAGACGGTATATTACAGCCAAAGGTACGCATAAAATCTCCCTTATAATTATGAAACTTTCACTGTAACTTAGTCTATGAATGTTTACAAATATGTAACATGTTCTATAAATCAGGTTGGAATATATGACACCTTTTTGTTCTTCCAAAACGGTTTGGTGTTGGATGATAGCTTGAATTTACAGTGATTTTTAATATGCTCATAATAAATATGTTTTGATACGTTTTGAATACATTTACCTCGTTGTGTTACATCGATATAGGTAAAAATGGCTTTAAGAACATCTGGACATTTGTTGTTGGGTGTGGTACGCATATACTCCCGGAAAGCTAAGTATCTTTTAGCCGATTGTAATGAAGCTTTTGTCAAAATAAAAATGGCCTTCAGGCCAGGCATGGTAGACCTGCCGGAAGAACACAGAGAAGCTGCTGTAACTGCTATAACATTACCCGAAGTGTTTCATGATTTTGATACTGCGATGCCTGAATTAAAGTAAATATATAAAAGTTAGATAACTTTGTATTGTTTATATCTTCTTAATAATATCATTCAATGCGTATATATTATTTCAGAGATGTTGATATTGAAGCTCAATTTAGTTTAAATCAGTCAAGAGCAGAGGAAATAACTATGAGAGAAGATTACGGCAGCTTAGCTTTAGTTACACACGATCAAGGATTTGGTGATATGAGTTTTGACGCAGAACCACCAGAATTATTAAGACACGCTGGTGCTGTAGAACCATCGTTAGATCAGGTATGTACATATATTGTTCCTGTTATTTGAAGAAACAGACATTAAACATAAGGTATTGTTTATTTATGGTTTAGACACATATGTTATTCACCGATGGACCAGGAATTGAAACAGCTTTAGATCAAAAGGAAAAAGAACCGGTACCAGGCCCATCAATAACAGCGCAAGCCATGGATATAGACATGCCTATTAGAGATGATGGTTTTGGTGGACATCTTGGTCAAGATATCATATGTAAGTGATTCGGACGTATGTGTACAAAATTATTATTTTAATTATATATTATATAATTATTTGTTATACTTTTTAGCTGGTGGCCTATTCGAAGGTGGTTTGTTTGATGAAGCCCCAATGGGTGAAGTATCCGTACCTGAAGTTAGTGCTGTAGCAGAACCACAAGAGCCGGCAGTATCTGGAACTGCACCTTCAGTTCATGAGGAATCCGAGGAAGAAATGGGACCTCCGTCTCCTTTGGGAGGAATGAGGTAGTTAATCCTTTTTTTTTTTATCATACTATCTTTAAATTATGAATTTATATTTTATATAAGATAATAAATATGCATAAAATAAATTTTATACAATAGCGATGACTCCAGACCTGCCTCTCCTGCTACAATTGCAGAAGAAATTGAAGGAAGAATAAGTGTTGCAAGTCGTCGTTTTACTCCTGCTCCGTCAATCATTCCTGAAGAACGTCCAATGGAAGCCATCGAAGAAGCACCACCTCTACAAGATCAAACCACATTATTACACGATGAGGAAGAAAGTTTTGCTCTTGCACCAGTTGATACATCTGCTTTAAAAGGTTGGACATTATATAGAGCTACTTTATTCTAATTTTAATATTCATGATCACAGTTACCATTGCAATATTATCGATGAAATTATAGGATTCACAAAAGCAAAGCGTAAACGCAAGCTTATTGTTGATGAAGTCAAAAATATTTCTGGTGAAGAAATGAAAGCACAATTATCAGATACCAGTGATATTATAACCACCCTGGACCTTGCACCTCCAACAAAGAGGTTAATGCATTGGAAAGAAACTGGCGGAGTAGAAAAATTGTTTGCTTTACCTGGAAGACCAATTCCAGCACGTGTATTGTTTAAGGTAATAGGAATGTTTACAATTTTGAAATTCATTGTATTATGAGAAAATAAGCAGAGGTATACGAGAATCCGAAAATGTCGGGAACCTGATTTCGAAACGAGTCGCGAACAGATTAAGTAAGGTCGAGCTAATACTGGAAAGTATTTCGGGTCTCGAAAATATCAGGGATTTCGAGAATTTAGAGAACCCAAACAACATTTTGGGATTAAATATTACGAGACGCCTGATTGTACGTCCGAACTATACGAGCTCTATAAGGACACTGTAAGATCAAGAGTTTGAACGCACACAATTGCGAATCTACTTAGACGAATTTCTTAGAATACACGCGAGTGTACGTCTTTTTCTGTAAATCTCAAATGGTTGTAGCAACATAGAGTTTTAATTCGCAGAATACGAACGTATCAACGTAAAAATCGACGTAGCTTAATAACGATCAAACCTAATTCCCGAAACGTAATTAAAATTCCCAAAATTTTCGGGAATCTCGATATTTTCAAGATCAGAAATACATTCGGGATTTTTGTCCCGACCCAATTTAACCATTTAAATGCTGTCGAAATAGAATTATCAACGACATCTTACGAGTAAGTCTTACGATCACGAGGACTTTGGACGTTTAGTAGGCGAAGAGGAAGGCATGCCTTTGGAACAGATGAGGGAACCTGTAGAAGCAGATTCATTTGAACAAAGTATTTTAAGTAAACGTTTGTCCCGGAAACGAAAGATGCCATTTGAGGACGAGGTAGGTTATATTTAATATATATGTTTAATTCAGGTTTAAATAAATATTATAAATTTCTATTATCTATCTATTACACACACTTTTATTTCCAGATAAGGCCACCACCTCCAGCACCGGCACCACCTCCAGTAGAAATAGCATCCGAAGCTGTAGATGTCCCAAGTATAGCTCCTCTACCTCTAGCTGAATCACCGATTCCTCTTCCTGAAGTATCTTTGCCAACAGAATCAGTTTCTGAAATCAGTGGTATAGTGCCTCCTGTCGAAGAAGCAGAAATAGTTCCATCAGTACCTTCTGAAGTACCTTTGATTTCACCACTCGTAAATGAAATACCTCCAACTGAAACCATTGTTACACCCGAGGAATCGGTTATACCACCTACACCAGCAGAACCAGAACTCCCTACTGCGCCACCTTCTGAAATGCCTCAAATGGAAAATATGGGCTATGATCAGGTTAGTTACGGTTTTACAATATAAATACATTACATATTATAGCATCGCAATAGTAATTTTAATTAATATCTATACATCTAATAGGCTCAACCTATTGTACCATATATGGGATATGATGAACATCCCCCAGCTCCCACAACACCTGCTATGTCAGAAAGAGGGCCAGCGACTCCATGGAATCACGAGGACTATGAATTCCCTCCATCTGTAGGACCTGTATGTAAATTTTATATACTCTTTAAAAAAAAGTGTAAAAGTAAATTGAGATTTAAAAAATGTACAAGAAGATTTATGTAATTTTTATTACGTTGTTTTATAGCAAGAAGAACAGCAAGTAGATGAAACATATGAACAGTTTGAAGAACGAGTTCTTAATAAGAGAGCAGCACACATGTATCATGTTATTAAGAACAAACTGGATACCAAAGATAGGTTGACGTTATCAGAAATGGCATACAAAAATAATCGTAAACAGGTTTGTATTTATACGTATAATTCATAGGAAATTTGATGATATGTATATTGATATTTTCTGTCATGTTTGATTTTAGGTTGCACAAAAATTCTATACTTTGTTAGTCCTTAAAAAGTTTCAAGTAACAGAACTGTATCAAGAATGCCCGTATGCTGAAATTGTAGTCAGTAAAGGACCAAAATTCGAGAATCCTGCATTATAAGAATATTAGGTATTTCGTACCTTGTATTTACTACTAACAGTGATGAGATAATGAAGAAAAGGATTGTAGTTGCTCTGAATCGTAACAGAAAATGAAGCGATTTATCTAAATTCTTTTGATAGATAAATTGTAAAATAATATACGAAACCGCTGACAAAAACATGAAATATCTACTAAGGCAAAAGAGTTTTATAAATCAAGTTTTTAATTCCTGATTGAGGAATGTATACGTTTTGTATAAATCAGGGCAGAATTATTTTGGACCTTCCGCATTTCTAACGCGCTAAAAGATTCAATTATATGTATAAAAATTTAATATTGAAAGATGCATAATTTTTTACTTCTACATAGGAAAAGGTCGATTGTCTTCATTAACTTAATTATCAATCCGAACAGGGTTTGTATATAATATTGACGTGTAGTGAAAACATATTTTATATCTTACTATTTACAAAGAAGGTTCTTGAGTCCGTACTGCAGGATGGTCCAAAATCACGAATAATCTTTATGAAATAATTTATGAAATTTAATAAATGAAAATTTTGTTAAAATTTCATAAAATGAGATCATGTA